ATTTCCAAATAAAGTCATGTTTTGACGTTTACTCCAATTGAATGCCAGAATAAATGTTTCTTTTAGTGATCGACTCCAACGCCTAAACTATATCTAAATATTTAGATTGAAATGTATTCAAAAACTGTTGAGAGAGAGAGAGAGAGAGAGGGAGAGAGAGCTGAGGGATGAATGGATGCATCGTTTGGATGCAAAGGGAGTGAGAAACAGATAAGATAGCGATGCATAACATCTGCTTTCAATAACTTGAAACGTTAGAAATGCTAGATTTGAAGCAAAAATCTTTGCAATAAAAGGCGGCTTTTCTTATGTTTGTGTTTAAGTACAAGAAATAACAAGTCAGGGAAGTGTTGTTCCCGAAGTATATCAGTTATCCATACAGTATCGCACAGTTTGCTAATATTTTAGTGCTATTCATAAACAAATAGCTATACTTTGACACAAAACGCTCACACATTTGGTGAAAAACCCAACGATTCTGTTATTGTTAACAAACTATAAAAATGTTAACATTTAGACAATAATTGATATCAATGTCCGCATATATACTGCACTCAAACGCCAAACAGTGAATGAATTTGCAATTGACTTGAAGTGAAAGACAACCACAACTTGTCTTTATATCATAAACAACACATTCCTCTCTCTCTCTCTCTCTCTCTCTCTCTAATACTCATTTCTGTGTGAATCGTTGAGTTGGCAGTCAATCCGTCTATCCTTTAGACTTCTTTTGGTGTCTTTTATTCTTTGATTGTATTCTTTCTCTCAAACACTTTTGTATAACTATTTTATTCATTCATTCATTCATTCGGTGCGTAAATAATGAAATGGATGTGCGATAAGGCACGAGACTATTAGATTAGTCGACAGCCCAAACATTAGGGTTAATTGCGTTGCCATACATTGCCATACATTTTCGGACGCATTGATTGCCCGAAAAGGATGTGAGAGATTGTGTGGAAACGCCGACGAAAGTAAAAGATGATACCAAACATTGATTTGATGTGCAATCGATTTATTTGCATAAGTTTTTCTGTATTTATTTGATTAGCGATTCTGACGCTTAGCGCCGGTCCTCTCGTTTACTCTGTTTCCTAATAATTGCAAATCAAAATCTATAGCAATTTGTTAGCAGTTTTTGCGTTGATTTGTTTGAGAGTCTCTCCTCTACTGTCGATCAGTCACTGTTCAGTAGAAAACTAATTAATGATTTCTTAATATCTATTATTACGATCCAAACCATTGAAACTTACTTTTTGTTGTTTACGACAATGAATGGAAAACTGAGAGCCAATACTAATTGGGTATCAATTCATAACCGATTCTCTATTTTTGTCACAAATAAAACATTTTTATGACTTCCCGTTCGCATCACAATATAGTTTTCGGTACCGATTCGTGAGTTTGAGTTGAAATCAAAATAATTACTGGAAAAACAGACAAATAATGATATTTGAAGTCAATTAACAAAAGGAAAAGTTAGTGAAAATCGGAAATTGAAAGACTGCGTGCATTAAAGCCAATGGTTATGTGCTTTACATGTGTTAAAAATGTTGTTATTTCTCGCATTTCTCACTAATAGTTATTTCCAAATAAAGTCATGTTTTGACGTTTACTCCAATTGAATGCCAGAATAAATGTTTCTTTTAGTGATCGACTCCAACGCCTAAACTATATCTAAATATTTAGATTGAAATGTATTCAAAAACTGGAGAGAGAGAGAGAGAGAGAGAGAGAGAGAGAGATTTTGTAAACATAATAATAAAATCTGCTTTTATTCGTTTAATCCAATAGAAATTATTAATTTGTCCGAAATATTATAACAATTCATATGAATATTCTGTTTATATACATACTTTAAAATTGACTTTAAAGTATTATTGACCTGTTTTTATGAACAATTATAGACTGTTTGTATAACAAACTGTTTCATCAATTGTTTATTTATACACAAAACCGACAGAATATACAATACTTTAAAGTCTGTTAAAGAATACATTCATTTAAACCACTGAATATCTCTCACCCACTCTTAGCACTTATTCTATGCATTAAATGTTCAAAAAAATATAAAAAGAAATGTTTTATTTTACCAACAAATGGGACACTCGACACAAATGAACCTTAATGAGTTTATATATAGACTGTATTTGTTTTTTGGTGTATTCATTATAATTATAGGGAAAATTAATAATCAAATTATGTGTAAAATTTTTGTCATATATTTTTTGCAGATATTTTGAGCGAATTGTGATATTTTGTTCGGGTTTTGTTGAATTGATTCCACTTTCGTTTATTCTGGGCTTTTATGTCTCGTTCACAGCCACGCGTTGGTGGCAACAGTACACTGCCATTCCATGGCCTGACAAGTGAGTACACCCTAACCCCAAGACCCTTTCTCTAACCTAACCCCCACTTCTACACTACATGTCCCTAAAGTTTGGGTTTAAAGTTTAGAGTCTAAACATGTAAAGAATCAATACATGATATATGCAAATATAAAATAGTTTGAATATTTATATTTAACGCATTTATGTAATTAAATAATGATTTAGCAAAACATTCAATCAAACGAACAGTTATTTAATGAGCTTAAAAAGTATGCAAAAATATGATACCGTTTTCCCCCATACCTGGCCTTAACTGCTTATTATAGCAACAGTTTATGAATATAAAATTACGCCCTCATTAAGCCCTGTATATAAAAAATAATGATAAAAAACAAAATCACCTCTAAATATAACTCTTTATTATTTAAAATATCAAACAATACGCCAATAGTTACGTCAAACCATACACTCTATTATTAAATAATGTATATTGTATTTTGAGCCCAATTTATTACAGGGACATTTTGCCAGGCATTTTGTATGGCACACAGATTCTTAACAAAATATATTATCTGCAAAAGTTAGCTAATAAAACAATATTTGACATTTAACTACATTTGGGGACACATTAATAGTAACACCGCATACAAAGCACATAATTAAGAGATACAAAACCAATAATTAGATTGTGTTTGATTTAAACGATGGTTAAAACAATGAATATGGTAATCAATGATAGGCTGATGAATATAATAGCGCTATACGTGCCGGGAAGCGATGAGACGAGTCGCATACTTAGACGCACACTAATGCGATACCTGAATCTGACCCTGGTGCTCGTTNGGGAAGCGATGAGACGAGTCGCATACTTAGACGCACACTAATGCGATACCTGAATCTGACCCTGGTGCTCGTTCTGCGCTCCATAAGCATACCGGTAAAGCGCCGCTTCCCGACCAAAGACCATCTGATTGAGGCCGGCTTTATGACCAAACCCGAGCTCGAGATGTACTCATCGGTGCCTTCCCATGAATTTAACACGTTTTGGATTCCCTGCACGTGGTTTGTGAACCTCTTAAGGCAGGCCAAGTCCGAGTGCCGCATCACTGACTCGGGTGGATTGAAACTCATCATGGAGGTTTGGCATACATTACTCGATTAACATCTACTAAGATATTAATATCATATTAGATATCACTTACAAATACTAACAGTCATTGTTTGTAAAGAAATTTCAAATTTTTTATCAAATATTGTTTTTATCGCAAAAAAGTTAAGCATTAATTGATGAGTAAAAATAATATCGTGTTTGTGATAGGAATTCAATGATTTCCGATCCAAATGTGGTTTACTTTGGAGTTACGATTGGGTCAGTATTCCATTGGTTTACACACAAGTAAGTAATCCTTTCATATAATTAATAAATATTATTATAATAACGAATAAATTTTATAATAATTTCTAATAATTGGTATTAATTAAGAAATTAAATAGCGTTTGAATAAGTTTTTGATGAAACAGCTGACAGCAGACTGCTATTTGTTAGACAAGGCTATAGTAGTGGCACAGAATTGGCACCAATGCTAACATTTCTTACTTTAGTTTGCAGTCTATTTGCAGAATAAATTAGTTATAAATGGCTTCAATTGTTACCCATTAAAATCTATGTAAAAAATTGATACACAAAATACTCTACAATTTTTATTGTTTATAAAATTGTTTCACAATTGATATATAAATCTCATTAAAGAAAATGACATTATTTTCAAAGCACTGTTTAATGTATTGACTTATTTAAGGGCCAAAAATAACATCAAAACCATCAGAATTTTATGCGTTAGAAAAGTGTCTAAAAATATCTATACTTTGCTTTCGACACATAAAAAGGAAAATATTTTGATTTTTTCGTAAAAATAATAATTTAATGCTTGAAATGATGTGTAAAATACATAATTAAAGTTTATCTTATCAACATCTTAAATACCAATCTCTCTCTCTCTCTCTCTCTCTCTCTCTCTCGTCTCACTTGACTAATAGATTATTTTCACTTTTGACTTCACTTAACGTGANTTTATTCGTTATTATAATAATATTTATTAATTATATGAAAGGATTACTTACTTGTGTGTAAACCAATGGAATACTGACCCAATCTCTCTCTCTCTCTCTGGAAAATTACTATAAATTTTATGTTAAGAATTTGCTCTTGATGAATTAAGTTGAATAATTATTTAGACTGATTGTAATATTGTGTGACCAATAAAACCAATAGGTAGTGACTCTGTCAACTCAGGCCTTTTTCTTGGCCTCACTATTGGGTCGGCAACACATCGTACCCGCGGAAGGAAACAAGATTCTGGTGCACCCGTACGGAGAATACTACTTTCCCATATTCACCTTGCTACAATTCATACTCTATATGGGTTTGCTTAAGGTAATTCTGCATAGACATTGGTAAACTATTCACTTAACTCTTCCACTGACTGAACAGTTAGGCGAACAACTGATCAATCCGTTTGGCGACGACGACGAGGACTTTGAGCTAAACTGGATTATCGACCGACACGTGAAGGTGTCGTTTCTGGGCGTCGATATACTGAACGCGGATCCGCCGCCACTCATGAAAGACCAATACTTTGACGAAATGGATATTAAGCTCCCGTACACTGAGGCGGCCGTCGCCCACAAAGTGAAGACATACCGCGGATCAGTGGCCGCATACAAGTAAATTGAACACTCATTAGGCGCTAATCCGTACAAAAGCTCACCCTTGGGTTCACTCCCCTATAGTGTGCCGATGGAAAAGCACGCTCTGGTCATCCCTGAGTTCGAAGACGAACAAAACAACAACTCAGATGACGACAACTCGACGGTTCAAAGCAGTCATAAGAGCACTCATAAGAGCTCCGTTTGGACGGTGTTTCACAAGAAGCCGCCAAAACTGAACGAAAGCCAAAGCATACCGTCGCTCGACTCGGAGACAATGGTCGAGTCGGGTATAAACCCGCTGTGGCAGAGCTCCCAGGGCTCAGTCGACACACAACAGACAGACATGACTACAGTCACCACCGGATACGGAATCGCTGATCGGAGCTCTCAAGGTATCAGGGGGTAAGATATTGACCCCAAATCTCTTTTGAAACACACAAAACCATATTCTCCTCATTAACTAACCATCCATTACAGTCTATTTCCTGTTATAGCACACAAATATCACTCAAACCCCTGATATTGTGACCCTAATGCTAGTTATAACATGAGATGGACTGCAATTAAACTAATTCACATTTGAATTGCATTAATACTAAACATTTGTTTTTATAAAAAGTAATTTTCAATCAACTCCTGTAATATTCTGTAATGAGAAATATGGAAATGATTTATTTGAAAATTAGGCAAATGAATCATTTTTATGTTATAAGATTAGTGTAGAATTAAATCACTATGGTTATATTAATAGCTGATATGGAGAGGACATTATAAGAGTTGATTGTGAATTACCATATTGTTTGTATCTGATATACGAATGGGTGAACGTGTAATGACAGGTCGTTTGAAGTGCCAAAAGCCAAGGAATTCATTGTCACTATACCATTCAGTCACCACCGGATACGGAATCGCTGATCGGAGCTCTCAAGGTATCAGGGGGTAAGATATTGACCCCAAATCTCTTTTGAAACACACAAAACCATATTCTCCTCATTAACTAACCATCCATTACAGCCTATTTCCTGTTATAACACACAAATATCACTCAAACCCCTGATATTGTGACCCTAATGCTTGTTATTATATGAGATGGACTGCAATTACACTAATTCACATTTGAATTGCATTAATACTAAACATTTGATTTTACAAAAAGTAATTTTCAATCAACTCCTATAATATTCTGTAATGAGAAATATGGAAATGATTTATTTGAAAATTAGGCAAATGAATCGTTTTTATATTATAAGAATAGTGTAAAATTAAATCACTATGGTCATATTAATAGCTGATATAGAGAGGACATTATAAGAGTTGATTGTGAATTACCATATTGTTTGTATCTGATATACGAATGGGTGAACGTGTAATGACAGGTCGTTTGAAGTGCCAAAAGCCAAGGAATTCATTGTCACTATACCAT